GCAGTGAAACTTCTGAGTTTCACCACAAAAAGTCATTAACAAGTGTAGATGCTCCCACAGTTTTAGCGCAAAAAAGGGACTTTTTGTGCTTTAAATGGTAAGTGTAGACATACCCTAACTTTAAATACAAAAATGATCCATGCATACAGATAGCATAATCATAACCAGCAAACCATAACCTTGTCTTTAGACACCTTATTTGACCCCCTTTATACAAGATGCGGTTGCAACAATGTTCTATAAGGTCCCAGTTCAAGTCAATAACGTCACAGCGAGTACAGAGGAAGGATGGTCTTCTGGTTATGCCACTGAACAGGGGGACCAAGTAATGTGGCTTCAGAAGTATGCTTCCTACCATAAGCTTGCTGTACAACTTTGGACAAATCACGTGAATCTCTCTGTTCCACATCTGTGAAATAGAGATCATATTTCCCTCCCTTATAGAATTATTGTGAGGATAAATTCCTGAATGATTGTGAGACACTTAGATATTATGGTGATGGGGCTATATCAGTAAATAAACTAAACAAATCTTTGAGAGGTGGGGGAGGAGAATGTAATCATTTTAGCATTTATAACTAATTGTTGTGAAAATGCTCCGAGCACATAGTGAGCACTTGAAATAAATCAGAAGGAGTACAGAAGAATAGCATAAGCATATAGGGACAAATCAGAAAGGCTAAAGGCACAAAATGAGTTACACCTAGTAAGGGACATACAAGGCAATAAGAAGAGGTTTTTCAAATAAATTAGGAGCAAAAGAAAGATGAAGGAAAGTGTAGTTCCTCTATTTAGCAGGGAATGAGAGCTAATAACTGATTTAATACCTATGACATGACATTTTTTATTTTAGTAAGGCATTTGACACAGTTCCACAGGACAATCTCATAAGCAAACTAGGGAAACGTGATCTGGATGAAATTACTATAAAATGGGTGAAAAACTGGTTGAAAGACTGTACTCAATGAGTATTTATCAATGGTTCACAGTTAAACTGGGAGGGTATATTTAGTGGGGTCCCAAAGAGGCCAGTCCTGACTCCTGTATTATTCAATGTTTTAATTAATGACTTGGATAAGGGAGTGGAGAGCATGCTTACAAAATTTGCCCATAATCTCAAACTCAGAGGGTTTGCAAGCACTTGGAGGACAGGAATAAAATTCAAAATGACATTGCAAATTAGATAATTAGTCTGAAATCAACACAATGAAATTTAATAAAGGTAAGTGCAAAGTACTTAACTTAGGTAAGAAAAATTAAACGCATAGCTACAAAACAGAGAATAACTGCCTCAGGGGTAGTACAACTGAAAAGGATCTGGGAGTTATAGCGGATCACGAATTGAATGTGAGTGAACAATGTGATGCATGTAGTGTTATATGTAACACACAGGAGGTAATTGTCCCACTGTTCGGCACTGGTGAGGCCTTAGCTGCAGTACTGTGTCCAATTCTGAGCAATACACTTTAGGGAAAATGTGGATAAATTGGAGAGAGTCCAGAGGAGAGCAACAAAAATAACAAAAGGTTTAGAAAACCTGACCTATGAGGAAAGGTTAAGACTAAACATGCCCAGTTTTTTGAGAAAAGACGACTAAGCGGGGACCTAATAACAATCTTCAAATACGTTAAGAGCTGTTATAGAGGACAGAGATCAGTTTTTCTCCATGTCCCCTAAAGATAAAACAAGTAATGTGCCTAATCTGCAACAAGGGAGATGTAGGTTAGATATTAGGAAAAAACTTGGTAACCATAAAGGTAGTTAAGTTCTGGAACAGGCTTCCAAGAGAGGTTGTGGAATCCCCATTATTGGAGTTTTTTTAAGAACAGGTTGGACAAACACCTGCCAGGGATGGTCTAGGTTTACTTGGTCCTGCCTCAGCCTCAGCACAGGGAGCTTGGTCTCCCAAGGTCTCTTCCAGCCCTACATTTCTATGATTCGACGAAAATAAAAGATATCCTGTATCACCATGGGGCCTGATTCTGCATTCCTTGCACATTCAAAATCTCCACTAAATATAAGATAGTATACCAAAGTGTAAATTATAAGACTATAAAGAAATAAGTCATTTACATGTAGAGGACTGAGATGCGGGGGATGGAGCTAGAGGAAGAGGCAAGGCAAAAGCAAGATGAACTAGTTAAGGTCTGATCCTAGCACCTTTACTCAGGCAAGATTCCAACTGATGGCAGAGAGTTTTGCTTGACTCAGGACTGAGCCACAAATGAGGTAATGCTAGGTAAAGCAACAAACAAAATAGAGATGAAAAACCTCAAATAAAGTCAGAAAAGGAGATGAATGAGGGTCATGAATGAAGTTAATTTAAATCCACAGAGGTGCTACAATGGGAGTTACAAAATGAAAGACTCAATACAGGTCTGTAAGGACAACACTGCAACATCAGAAATGAAAAATGGTGCCATCTGAAACATACAGGCACAATAATGTGACTAAAGGAAAAAACATGGCAGTAACACCATTAGAGAGAACCCATGAGAACACACAAACTGTGTTAAAATAAAGCATAAGGATCATGAGACACAACCCATTAACAGCAAAGAAATTCTGATTTAAGGCTAAATAAAGCTCTTAGGGCAGATCAGTTTGTGGAGGTGGTCCATAATGGAAAGCTGACACAGATGCAGCTCTGACAATTTACACCAGCTGGGGATCTACCCCTTGTTTTCCCTCTGTATTGTACCCCTCTAGATCCTTTCTGGCAGAAAGGATGTCTCAGAACAGGTAATCATGCATAAAGCAATGGTTGGGCTATAGTAACTTAGAGTTAAATTATAGATATGACAAAAGCTGAACTCAGTTTCTTGTTTTCAAAACAGTATTTTACATCTCAACTGTATACATATTTTCCTTTAGGTTAATAAAGAGTGTGAGTAAAAGAGAAAAACATTTTCAGTTTGAGCCCACTAAACATATCATAGGTTTGTTGCATTTTCCCTAAAGCTATGAATATAGGTTAGCTGACAATAGAAGAAATTTCAATTCCAGGGACCGGGGTTTTATTAAATGAGAGCTAAACCTTTAAAACGCTGGACACCTCCTAAAAAAAAATAAAAAATAAAAATAAAAAAAATCCCCAGGAAGTTGATGCATCATTGTGTTGCATCTGTGTCAAGCTTTCAGTAAACAAGCAGCAACATGAATGAAATCTGCCCAGAAAGACTGCATCTGCGCTCCAACCACGCAGTCTCTGGCCAAACCACCGCATATGAAATAAAGTTTTATTTCATTTTCCAGTGTTCAGTTACGCTTGTACCATTTCCTGTGGAAAACTGAAGCTTTGAAGTGTGTGTCTACAACTCAAGCGTCGCTCAAACCCAACCATTTTGAGAAGCCCCTAAAAAAAAAGAAAGAAAAAAGAAAAACAAAACAACCCCCCACACACACACACACACATACACAAGCCGCTCAATCAACCCATCAGTCGTGATGCCAGAAAGTTAATTAGGGATGTCATTGTAAATAATGCCCAAAAATGCCACCAAGACCCTCTTCCCACCCCCTCTCCAGTCTCCATTGTGCTGGCGACAGGCTGCAGCGGAGACGCACACATCCATATGGTACCGTAGCGCTGAACCCCCAAGAGAGCAACACGGGGCTGTCTGACAGCTCCCCGCCACCCTTAATGAGATCGGACGCTCGTTTTTTGTGATGCAGAAGGACCTGTTCCTCTTCCACCCACACACCTCTCTCCCCCCAGCTCTGTCGGACTGAAACCTTAGCCCGCCGCAGACACTTGCGGCATGGTACTCCATACAGATGGCGGGGGGGAGGGGGGGGAAGAGTGCACGATGAAGGCTCTTTCTAGCCCCGATTTACAGTCTCCTCGTGTCCTGCTAAAATTCTGTATTCAAGGTAGAAAGGGCTTGACACCAAATGTACATGGAGTAAAAGCCGATCCGACACAATAGGGTGGAAAACACCTCCCGCTCGACCTGCAGAAGGCGCAGCAAGCGGGAGGGCAGCAGCCAGCAGGGTAATTACCAAACAGCCTCAGCCTGAGCTTGCAACCCTCCGGGGGGCGCACTTCTCCGGCTGGAGTTGAGACCCGAAGGGCTGCAGGATGGGGCTTTGCAGGGTAGCTATGTGCAGCCATCTGCGCTCCCTAGATGTGCCGGGGGTGTGTAGGCTCTCGATGCTCCACAAGGGCCAGATCCTGGGAGATGCTGAGCATCCGCAGCTCCCACTCACTACAGGTGCTCAGCCCTTCCCGAGAGGGAGTCCTGGCTTCCCGGACCAGCCTTCCCACTCCGGATGCGCAAAACTGCGGCTCCCGGGGCCTGCGCGCAAAGTATGCGGGTCTGGGCGCAGTGAGGGGGCCCCACGCCCGCCAGCGGCTGCGGGTCGCAGAAGGGATTTTTGGTTGGTCGGCTACAGCTGATACTTCATCCAAATAAAAAAAAAAAGGGGGGGGGGTCAAAATGCGCAGCATTCGCGCGCATTTGAGGCTGGGTTTCCCGACAATACTCGCCACACAGTCTGCTCCCAGCGCAAACTTCGAGGGGCACAAGAACGGCCTAGGTGGCCAGGGGCCCCCTCCCCGCTGGCAGTCCAGGTGGTCACAGACTAGACCCCTCCGTCCCCCTCCCGCTGCACTGAGACCGAGTGGGCAGCACACCAGGCCCGCCACCCGACCCTGGCCCCACAGGTGGGCACACGGGGAAGGCTGCACACCATGACCCTCTCGCTCCTGGCCCCACAGGTGGGCAACACGGGGAGGGCTGCAGCCCCTAACTCGGCCCCACAGGAGAGCACGTGGGGAGGGGGGCAGCCCCAACACCTCCCCACACACACCCTTACACAAACAGGAGGGGAGGGGGGCAGCCCCTCACACGCCCCCCCCCCACAAACACACAGGAAGGCACGTGGGGAGGGGGGCAGCCCCTAAAGCCCCCCCACACACACTCACAGGAGGGCACGCGGGGAGCAGCCCCTAACACCCCGCCCCGGGCCCCACAGGTGGGCACAGCCCGCGCACTCACCGCTGGCGTTCTTCCCGCAGACGAGGTGCTGGTAGGGCTGCAGCAAGCCCCACAGCTCCGCGTCGTTGTTGACGGTCTGCTCCAGAGACTCCACCGTAAACTTGGGCGCTTCGCCGCCGCCGCCGCTCTCCTTGTCCTTCTCCGCGCCAGCGGCGGGGGCCGAGCCGGAGCCCGAGCCCCGGCTGGGGTGCGGGTGGGCCGAGGCGCTGCCCCCCGCCATCACCCGCCCGTAGATGTCTCGGAAGAGGCTCTCCAGGCAGGCGGTCAGGTAGATGGCGGCGTGCTCGTGGATGCGCACGGCCACCCGGCTGTCCACCATCCAGCGGTAGAACTTGCCCACCGAGAAGGTGAGCCCGCAGCGGGTGGATTTGCCCCGGCTGAAGCGGTCCCCGCCGCTGCCGCTCATGTTGTAGAGGGAGAGGGCGCCCAGGGCGGCCGCCGTGCAGCTGGAGGCCAGCGTCCAGTCCAGGACGATCTCCATGGCGCTCTGGATCTCGTACTTGGTGCACTTGGCAAACCGCAGGCTCAGCCGCTGAGCCTCCTTGGCAATTCGGATCAGCGCCCGGCTGACCAGGGTGGAGAGCTTGGCCAGGGCATCTCTGGCGGGGCTGGCCGCCGGCCCGCGGGGCTCCCGGTGCCGCAGCAGGAGCAGCGCCTCCACCTCCTCCAGAGTCCAGGGGACCTCCTCAAGGTCAGGCAGCAGCCTGGAGCACTGCTGCCCCGAGCAGTCCAGCACCTCGGAGTCTTCCACTAGGACCGTGTTGACAGTGTCAAAGCTGTTGTGTCTACTGTGCATGGAGTCAGCTAGATGCTGCCAGCCGTTTCCTCCATAGGGGTAAGCCGGGTGGGAATCCGAACAGCACAGGGACAAGTTGGAGGACCGGACTGAGTCCGCAGCACCACCATAACCAGAATCCAGGGTCAAATCTTCCAGCGTCCTCACCACTGTCTTACCTCGCCTTGCCATAGCTGCACTTCATGCTGCACCCGCAGGAAACCAGAGGGGGAATGGAAAGACGAGACAGAGCCCACTCGCCACTTTGCTGTGCCTTCCAAAGCCTCCTCCCGGCCCACGCACCGGCTCAGCTCCGCGGAGGGGCTCGGCAGCCCCGCTCCCAGCCGGGCGGCGGAAGAACGCCGGAAAAATAAAAGTGTGTAAATGTTCCCTTCTCGCTGCCGCTGCTGCTCCCCGGTCCCTGCACTGCACTAGCAGGCAGCCCTATACTGCAAAACCCAGGCAGCCAGCCGAAAAAGGGAGTGGGGAGGGGGGAAGAGGCGGGCCTATGTAAAACAGCTCGAGAACGAGCCAATAGCATTGGAATATGCTAATTATTTCACCACTTCCTCCCCAGCGGCAGGAGGTGGGGGAGTTGAGCTTCACTCTTTGGAATTCATGGAGACTCAAGACCCGGAGCGCGGACCCCAGGCAGCCCGCACAGCTCTGGGCCTCTTACCAGGACCTGGGGGTGGGGTGTTTTTTGTTTGTTTGTTTGTTTTTTAAGTCTCTCTCTGGTCATTTGTTTGGGTTGAACTTTGCTGTTGAAAAAGAACTCACGAGCCATGTAGCTTCTCCAAAACAGAGGAGGGAAAGCTCCAGGAAGGGGTAGTGATTTGTGGGGTTAAGGATAGCCGAAATCCCAGGCTTGTGTCCTTGGCAGGTAGTAGAAATTAGAAACCAGCCTAAAACAGATCCAGCAGCTGCGAGTTCTTGTAAGGGTCTAGTCTGCTCCACTGGTTCCCCGCCACTGGGGCCAGGACCGTCCTTAGCGGGGGGCTGTGTGGGGCTCCGGGGCGGACAGGGGGCTGGCTTGGGGGAAACCACCCCCCAACACTAGCCCGCGGAGCGGGTTGGGGCCGGGTCGCTGCACTTCCTGCAGCCAGGTCGACCCCGCACTCAGGGGGCGGCGATAAGTGGAGCGACACCGCCCCAGCCTGCTCCGCTCTGCTCCCCTGGCTCCCGGCCTTGGGGGGGCAGGGGGAAACCACCCCCCAGCATTCACCGGCGGCGCGGCTGGGAGCCGGGGGAGCGGAGCGGGCTGCGGCCGGCTCGCTCCACTTACCGCCGCCGGTGAGTCCTCGGGGGAGTGGGGGCGGGAAGGGGGGGGGCGGAGCTGGGGCTTTGGGGAAGGGGTGGAGTGGGGGGCGGGGACCATGGAGAAGAAGCGGAGCAGGGGCTGGAGCAGCACGCAGCTGCGTACGGGTAAGGACGGCCTTGAGCGGGGCGCATACCAACACAGATACTTAAGGGTTTTGTGACTGCACCTATGCCAGTGATCTGCCTCCCTTCCATTTAATTACGTGGAGCAACAAGCACCATTACAGGTTAGAGCATGCTCAGCTGATTGTGGGTGGTGTGAGAGAGACAGTGGCAAATTGTAAAGCCTGATATTTTCCTCTCAGCTGATCACAGAACCCCCGTGTAAGTCTCTCTGCCTCCCCCACCCCCCAAACATCATTTTTTTCCTTTTTGGTTAAGGAATAGATCATTTAAGTGAATATGGACAACGGCTGAGCTCAGGAACTATTCTGTTTGGCCCCTGCCCAGGCAGGATACACCTCTGCACTCTTCCTTTGTTTTAGTCAGTGTCACTCACTGACGCTTGTTGTGCATTGCCGGCATGGCAGTTACATCACCCGTGGTGGAGGCAATACCAACAGTCGAGACCTAAGATTTTGGAGGCAGTTCTGAGAGGGTTCCCCAAAGCCCAAAAGACCTAAGATTGGACAGAAGTAGTTCTGCTTCAAAAAACAGGGTTACTCCGGCAGCAATAGTCCCATGTTTTACGTTAAGCATGAATTTAAACTCTTTGGATCAGGCCCTCAGTACGTGTGTCTTTTGAAGGAAAAAAAAGTAGCAATGGGGAAGTATAAAACAGGTTTCTATTGAACCTGTTAGCATTATCTCCCAAACAGATTAAATGGATTCTCTCTCCTTCATTTCCCTCACATTCTTTTTATTCCAGTGGTTTGCTGAATTTTCCAAAAACAAAACAAAGGCACTTGGCAAAAAAAACTTGATTTAGAACTAAAGAAACTGCCATGTAGTAGTAGAAGGCATAGTTTCAATCTGGAAAACAATCTCCAAATAATTAAAAGTAGTACTCTGAACCCCCTAGAAACTCTTAAAATTAACCCCCAAAGAATGAGGCAGGATTTGAAAAGTGAGACTCCTATTAATGTTGGTTAGAGTTTCATATGCATAGCTAAAAATTCCTGCACAGTGCATGAACAATTTATACCTACTGGCATATATATTAATCTTCATGTGCTGGGTGTTATTGCTAATGGGAGTTGGATGGCAAAGAGCCCATGCAACACACTGAGAATATACTCCTAAGTGTATACTTCTGTTCTGCAGAAGTGTTATATTGCTTTAATCGTAAAACACCAGCAAACATCTATCCCTTTAAGTATAAAAGGCTAGCAAACATTTCTTCATCCTGCCAGTGTAGTCAGTCATAATTCTTCAGCAGACAAGGCCCATCAGTTAAGAGATTTACCCTCTCAAGGGAGCAAAAACTGGCAGGCCTTCAACATAAACTTCCTAAAGGAAAGGCATTAATACAACTATAAGGAGAACATAGACTAGTTGGGGTAAGTATGACATCCCTGAAAACACCTAGAAAGATTTTACCCTGTTACTTCAGGGAGGTACAGTGAGAAAAACAAGAGATATCTTGACAGCATTTTCAACTTTGAAACAGGAAATGTCAGGCAGAATAGATTTTCAAAAGATACCCTAAAAGCCACAGAAATCACACAGTAGCCATAATGAATAAGCAGAGGATGGGGGAGCTCTGGATTAGAGTGAATACCATAATGAAGAGAGGAAGGGCTAACATAGTGCCCATCTTTAAAAAGCCGAAAAAGGAGGAGCCAGGGAACTATAGACCAGTCAGCCTGACCTCGATACCTGGGAAGCTATTAGAGCAACAGATAAAACATTCAATATGCCAATACCTGGAGGATGAAGAGTGATCGCTAGCAACCAGCATAGATTTACTAAGAACAAATCATACCAAACCAGCTGGATTTTCTTCTTTGACAAGGTAACTGGTTTGGTGGATAGGGGGAATGTGGTGGATATAATATACCTGCACTTTAGCAAGGCTTTTGACACAGTCCCACATGACATAAATAAGTCTCATAAATAAGCTGGAGAACTGCAGGCTCGGTGGAACTACTATTAAGTGGATATATAATTGGTTAAACAACCACAAACAAAGAGTAACTAAAATTGAATGATGTCAGATTGGAAGGAGGTCTCAAGTGGGGTTCCACAGGGATCTGTTTTGGGTCTGGTGTTATGTAACATCTTTATTAATAATCTAGATGTAGGAATAGAGAGCCTACTGATCAAATTTGCTGATAACACAAAGCTGGGGGTGGGTGTTTACAAACACTTTGGAGAATGGTGCTAAAATTCAGAGGGATCTTGATAAATTGGAGAACTAGGCTATAGCTAACAAAATGAAAGGTGCTACACTTACGGAAGAAAAACCAAATACACAAATACAGAATGGGGGGAAACTGTCTGGGCAGCAGCACTGCTGAGAAGGATTTGGTAGTTGTGGTAGATCACAACCTCAACATGAGTCAGCAATGCAATGCTGTTGCAAAAAAGCAAATGAAATTTTGAGTTGCATTAACAGAGGCATAGCATGCAAGTCATGGGAGGTGATGGTATCACTTTACTCAGAGCTGGTTAGGCCTCATCTGGAGTACTGTGTATAATTTTTGTCACCAATGTATACAAAGGATGTAGAGAAGCTGGAAAGGATCCAGAGGCGAGCAACAAAGATGATCAAAAGGATGGAATGCAAGCCGTATGAGCAAAGGCTGATGGAACTGGGTATGTTTAGTTTGGAAAAGAGGAGATTAAGGGGGGATATGATAGCAGTCTTCAAATACTTGAAAGGCTGCCATAAAAAAGATGGAGAAAAGTTTCTCTCTCTTGCCGCAGAGGGCAGGAGAAGAAGCAATGGGTTCACACTACAGCATAGCAGATTTAGATTAAATCTCTGGAAACACTTCCTAACTGTAAGAACAGTAGGACAATGGAACAAGCTGCCTAGGGAAGTCATGGAAGCTCCCTCACTGGAGGTTTCCAAAAAGAGGCTGGATAGCCATCTGTCTTGGATGGTTTAGACACAAGAAATCCTGTATCTTGGCAGGGGTTTAGACTAGATGACGCTTATGGTCCTTTCTAACGCTATGGTTCTATGATAAGGTTAGAGCCCTTCCGTATTAGTTAGGTCAGTCCTCAGATTGTGGTATGCAAGAAGAAAGGGGCATTAACATTAAGGTCCTGCATACTGTGTGGTAAGCTGAATTGTAAGTCTTCACTGCACAGTTAACCCAAGTGATTGGCTCCCAGGTCTGAGCCCTGGGTTACCCTAGCCTAGGCATGAGTGTCCCCACAGCAAAGCCCTACCTACGTCACTGTTTCTGCACTTGCCCATGTGTGTCTGGGGGCATAATGCATGGTTCTTTGTGCTGAGAGGCTCTAGGATTCATTCCCTGTCAACTGTGTTAATTTTGGGAGAACTTGTCTGATTTTTGGGGGGGCTTGTGGGATAGGTACTGGAGGATGATCAGCACTTGAGTGGTTTTGCCAGCATCCTTACTGCAAAGTGGGTGGTTCCAGCCAGAGTTAAAGCAGAGCCTGCAATCTAAGCTATATCCTCAGCTGGGTCAGCTAGCCAGTCTTAAAGCACCTCCAAACTTGGGTCAGCGGTTTTTCTGTGTGGATAGTAGGGAGTTTGGGGTAAAATCCAGTTAAGAGTCCAGGTTAATTGTACAGTGAACATAGATTCTGTAGTAGGGTCCCCCCTGGTGTCTACAGTACTCCAGTGCAGCAGATTAGAAATTTTCTATTCAGCTTCAACTTAACTGAGTAAAAATCTCCATGTTAGAATTTAATGAGAATGAACATAGATGTACAGAATATCTTGGGAGATTTTTCTAAACAGGTTCAATTTGTTTTACTCTGCCCCTAAATTTTCAGAGAGCTGCAACTTTTTGCATTGATAACACATGACTGCACTCAGGCATTATCAGGGGGAAACTGTATGTTATGAAAGCTGGGTAGTGAACAGCTGTTGGTGCCTGGGAAGGCACGGGAGATAGCTTGGGCGCGTGGACTATGCACATTAGTTGGACATTTATGCTGCAGTGATCAGAATTAAAATAGTTAATGTTGACATTAAAACAACCATCTTTAGGCTATAGAGTTAACCATGCATGCGGCAGTTCACATCTCAGATCTATTGTTTCAGGCTCCCTGCAGACTCAGACAGATGTCATGCTGTTGATTTAGTCAGTTCATATTTGAAGAGTTTTCTTTTCAAAATTATAATTCTGGCTTTACATTTGCCATGAAAGCCAGATTCCGGGGCCTGATTCTGCACAAATTCTGGGGCCTTATGGAATCTGTAGCCTCAGTAAGATTTCCATATCAAATTATAGAAGGCAAAAAATGTCCCAAATTGATTAATTCAAAGCAATGCAATGTGGCCTTCGATGACCTTTCATTGCCTGTGGGATGCTCTCCGAGGGTAGGATGTCTTTGCAGCTGCATACTTGAATGAGCTAGCACATGGCCTGGAGGGAACAGCAGAAACTACTAAAAGGGCTACAAGTTTATCTTAAAAAGAAAAGGAGTACTTACGGCACCTTAGAGACTAACATTTATTTGAGCATAAGCTTTCGTGAGCTACAGCTCACTTCATCGGATGCATTCAGTGCATCTACTGAATGCATCCAATGAAGTGAGCTGTAGCTCACAAAAGCTTATGCTCAAATAAATTGGTTAGTCTCTAAGGTGCCACAAGTACTCCTTTTCTTTTTGCGAATACAGACTAACACGGCTGCTACTCTGAAACCTGTCATTATGCAAGGCACTGAATTTAGCCGTATGAAGTTTATCTTAGGAAATGTGACTAGACAAAAGTACAGATTTCCTTGGAAGGGGAGGGGAGACCAGATCAGTTTAGAAAAATAAAACCTGTCCCAATACATAGTGCCTAGATGCCACAACTGGGAGCTTCAGAAACAATCCTCA